TGGCCGAAGTGGAGGGCAGTGAAGATGGTAGTGCGAAGGCCGTTGGAAGCGAGGKTTTTGGCGAGGCGGAGCGTGGGGTTCATGTGGCCTTGCGCCGGGAAGGTGACGAGGAAGACATGGCAAGGAGATTCGAACTCTGCCTGCATTATTTATTTTTTGATTTTTATTTCTGAATCCGAGCTTTGAACTCTGAAAATGGCGATTTGAAGCTTGGGGGACTATGCTCGTTATCTTTGGGTAAAGATCAAATCCCCGTGACACTAGTAATTTATGGCCACGTTTACTTCAACGACATGAGAATGATAAAATGCAGATGATGGAACCTACACAATTTTTCTTTCCTACATTTTCATCAATCCCATTTCCAAGCGATGCAATTATTTTTTCCTTTTTATCAATTTTTCTAGCATGTATTAATGAGGGCCTATAACTTATTTAATTATTTGTTTTTATTTATATAACTAATAATTGTTATTTTAATACAAATTTATACCACTTTTATTAGTTGGCATGAATTTATATTTAAATTTTTTAATTTTTACTAGGTTATTATTAATTAATATCTGTTGATTTTTTAAAATTGAATTTAATTATTATTAAATATTAAAATAATAAAATTTAATTATATTTTATATTAAATAATGATGTTTCTAATAAAAAAGTATTTTAGTTGATGTAATTTTATTTTAATTATTCATTATTTATTAATATTAAATAATGATACACTAGTAATTGTTATATATTTAATTTCGATTCATAGTTTTAGTAAACAAAGAATTCTAATTCTGATTCCAACAAATTTGTGGTAAACAAATCAAAAGAATAACATTGATTTTCATTATGATTCATGCACAACATTACGATTCCTAGTAAGTAAACAATGCCTAAATGGTTCAGGCTTTACCTACATTCATTTTACGAAAAAATTAGAATCCATTTGGTTATGTTTTTATTTTTTGTTGTTCGATTTTCAATTTTATTAAAAATCTTCAAGTATACTTGATTTTATTTTTTTACAAATATTCTCAAAATTGTAGATAAATTTTAAAAACAACCAAAACAAGTTATGTATATATATATCTGTGTGTGTGTATGGATGAGATACTCTTTATGGTTCTCATCCCCTATTTGTTATAAAATACAAATAAAATATTATTTTATTATTATTGAATCTATATTTGTTGGGAGGTGTGCAATTGTATTTTTACAAGGAAAAACATAAATAAAAAACAAGAACCTTATAACCCATTTCGTTATATTCTCGTTTTTTGTTTCTCATTTTTAATCTTATTAAAAAATTTAAATGTTTTACAATTAATTACGTTTATCGTTTTCCATTTAGAAACATTCTCAAAAGTTACAAAAATTTTGTAAACAACGAAAACAAATTTTTAATTTGTTTCAATATAAATAAATATTTTATCATTCGGTATCCACCTGTTTTTGGGTCAATTCTATTTTTATTTATTAAAAAAAAAAATCAGAAATAAAAATGTTGACAAAGGTCACGGTACCCAATCACTCTTAAATTCATCATTTAAGATAGATAGTAAAAGCTGATTTCTGCATGAGCTATACACTCTCTTTTGCCTTTTTCAGATCACTAATTTAAGATAGAAACTCCGATCGTTTAACCGACCGTTCGATCGGTCGGTTTGGTCGGTTCTTAAAAGAAATAAGAGTGGTTCGGAGCTGTGTGATTGAAATGCATGGAAGAAAGATAAGAAAGGGAAGAGAGGAAGAAAAAAAAGAAGAGAAGAACGGTGAGGAAGAAAGAGAAGAAATAGGTGGAGAGAGAAAACATGAATGAAAAGAAGAAATGAGATAAGAAAGAGAGAAATTGAAAAAGAAGGAAGGACAATAAAAGAGCCACGTAGGTTGGACAAGAAAAATGGGTTAAAATGTAAAATATAATAATAAACAAATAAATTTATATATATTCCACGTGAATTAGCATTTTTTTTCTTTTACATTTTTCACCCACGTCGCTTTTTATTAGGCATTCTCTCTTTCGTTTCAATTCATTTTTCCCGCTCATTTTTCCCTCTTTTTTTTTTCTTTCTCCTACCTTCCCTTTCTCAATTTCTCTCGTTTCTTCTCTTCAACTTTTACCTTTTTTTTCATTCCATCTACTCTCAATTACCATTTTTTCTCTAATTCCTCTCTTGCAGCTCTCTCGTAGAATGTTCGAATGAAATTTTATTCTTATTTTTCTTTTTTTTTAATAAATCGGTCGGTCGATTTCTTTGATATTGGAAGAGCCGACTAATCTACTTGTCGGTTTTTCGCTGAAAAACTGACACCGACCGATTCATCTTTTAAACAAACTGACCGAACGTTGATCAGTCGGATCGATTTTTCTGTCTTCTATGCTCACCCCTACCAGGCGGCGCCTTTCCTCTCTATCTCTTATCTATAAAAGTTATGTGTTTTCTCTCCATCCTCCGATTGAGTTTTTTAAGAGAGCGTTTTCTCTTTGTTTTGTTTCGATTCTTCTGTGGGTTTTTTTTCTTTTCAAGAAGTAAGTAGTATGGATTTAAATATAATAGGGACCTCTCTTGCTGTTATGGGGGCGATTTTCAGGGAGGATCTTTCTTCCCCGCTGGTTTCTGTGATGGTGGATGATGGTCGGGTGTTGGGGATTTCCCCGTTGGTTGTTGAGCATATTGTTGTGGCTGATAGAATCAAATGCAACATTGTTATGTATGGTCCGTGCTTTAGTCATTTGGGCATTTTGAAGAGATATTAGACACAAAATTAGAGAGGGCACCTGCCTGCGATCTTTTGGGATAACTCTTCATCTTCGTTTCATTTTAGCTCAGACAACTTCCATGGTCCAAGGGCAAGAAAGACGGGGTAGCAGGTGAGCAACGGCGGAGGTACAGCGACAATCGATTCAAACTCCGTTTTGGAATATGGGGAGGTTATCAGTCTTGTATTAAAATTTGTGATCAGCATGATTTGGGAAATTTGCCTAATTCTTCCTTACCTATCACGATGGAGAATAAGACAACTTTGGAGACAATTATTTCCTTGTGTGAATAGGGTTGCATAATTGACAAGATACCTTCATTAATTGAGGATTTTCTCCCGATGACTTTTAAGAAGGTGTTCAGTGGACTAAAATTTATTCATATTTCTAGTTTCTTGAATAGGTAAGTTGTTTTATTGGTCAAGTGTGTCATTTATGATCGTTTCTATATCATTTGGGACAATTGTTTTCCTTCGTGGATTATGATGGTGATGTGTGGTCACCACTATTTAATGTCATGTTTCTTTCTTAAAAAATAAAAAATAAAAATCTACTACCTTATTTATATCCCCGTGCCAATAATGCGACCTTTAGAATCCTCCAATTTTTTATTTATTATTATTATTTTTTTTTTATGAAAGGGGAGAACTCGTTACCTATAACTACTGTATACTGATCCTAATTATTGTTATTAATTCCATGTTCCTACATTTCACTTGCATCATATATGCTTTAATTATTATCATTGATCTATCTTATCAAGTCATTATTATTTTTCAATTCTTAATTAATCTACTTTTTAAACTTTAATTTACTAATTCAAATAATTTACATAAAATTTTTTGATCTCATTCTAACATTTTCATAAGTACATTGCTTACATTTTTAGATATGAGGATTAAAAACAATCAATTATATCGTAATTAAACTATAATAATAGTAAAAATTGAAAAAAAGAATTAAGAAGGAATACTCTCTCTCCCTGGTATGAGACCTCCTCCCAGGATTCGACTGTTCTGATCATAGTCTTTTGATTCTGGTTTGCAGCTTTTTCTTTCCATTTCTCTGGTGTTGAATCTCTCCGAGGACAGAAGAGGTTCTTTTAGAGGATTGGAATAAGCTGCAGCTTACTTTTACAGAGGAAGAAACTACAGTGGATGTTGATTTAAAGGTGTCCAAACAGATGGAACAACGACTAGAACTTTGCTTGGTAGGAAAGCTTCTGTCCCATCGTTTCATCTCATGTGAGGTAATACGCAAGTTTTTTTCATCAGGTATGGAAATTGCAAGGCCAATTGGTTGTGGAGAACCTGGGTAGAAACTTGTTTTTGTTTCGATTTGGATCTGAACAAATACGGAATAAAGTTTATCGAATTTGACCGTGGTCTTTTGATAAATCTCTCCTCGTTCTCCAGAAGCCACTTAATTTGATTAAACCATCAGAATTGGAATTCAAATTAGTGGCATTTTGGTCACACTTCTACAATTTGCCGATGCCTTTCATGAACAAAACGATGGCTTCTCATCTCGGCAATGCTATTGGGGTGTGTGGGGATGTTGACTGTGATTCTGACGAGTGTTGTTTGGGGGAAAGTCTGAGTGTCAAAGTGAGATTTGACATAACAAAACCCTTGAGACGAGGTGTGAAGATCAATATTGATGGTCCTATGGGTAGCTGTTGGGTTCCAATCAAGTATGAGCGTTTACCAGATTTTTGTTATTTCTGTGGGATGATTGGCCATCTAGCTAAAACTTGTGATTCAAATGTTGATGATTCTGAGAAAGTGAAAGCAGAATATTTGCAGTATGGGGCTTGGCTTCGTTTTCAAGGGCAGGGGAAAGAAGGTCTATCTAAGCCGCGAAAGCGGGAATCCTTTTCAGACCGTTCCTCCAAGCAAAGTCTGTACATCAACCACCGGCTCATGAGGTGGCTGAAGGAGTTTCCAAGGAGGTGCCGGCAAACCAAGCGGCAGAGCCAGTTGGCAGAATTCTGGATTTGGGGAAAACGTTACAAAGAACGGAGTTATTAATGGTCTTAATTGCTTGTCGATGAATTTTCAGAGTGAACCATGATCTTTCCAAATAAATGCTCCTTCAAAGCAGGTTTCCTTGGCACGGGATTCACTCTCCAATGAAGGAGGTGCTACAAATAAGGAGTTATTTGAGGCAACAATTAATGAGGGGCCAGGTGGATCAAATGAGATAACTCGTTCAGTTGGGGATGATTTGGGCCTGAAGCTTGGGGGTCTTTCGCAGCCCACTTCTGTTAGAAACTGGAAAAGACTGGCCCGTGAGAAGGCTTTGGCCTCCTCATTGTCAACGGTCGTGGGACAGAAACGAAAGAAGACTGTCACGAAGGATGTAGCATCGGTGGCAGCTGTTATACAGCCCTGTCGGGAGCCATGAAAATCCTCTGCTGGAACGTCCGCGGGTTGGGGAACTCCAAGACGTTCTGTTTCTGTGATGTAAGTGACATTTCTGAAACTAAGTGTAATGGTAGTCTCTTGAATAAATTAAAAGTACGTTTGTCTTTTGAAGGATGTTTTGTAGTTGACAGTAATGGTAAGAGCATGGATTTGTGCCTTTTATGGAAGAATGAAGTATGTGTTCACATTCGCTCTTACTCTCGATTTCACATTTCCCGGAATCAGAGAGTTTTTCGATTTTCTGGTATCTATGGGAATCCAAAAACTCACAAAAGGATTCACACTTGGGAGTTAATTCGTTGTCTCCACAATTCATATGATTCCGCCTGGTTAATTGGGGGGATCTTAATGCTATTTTGTGGGATGATAAGAAAGCTGGGTGTACGTCAAAAAAGAGTATGGTTGATTCTTTTAGAGAGGTTGTGGATGATTATTGTTTACAAGACCTCGGTTATCACGGGTCTGTTTTTACTTGGCGCAACCTTAGGAAGGCTCGTGCCCAAATCCAGAAGAGATTAGATCGATTTTTGGGCAATTGAGCTTTCATTGCTTTGTGGCACGGCCTTCAAGTGTCCCATTCTGATTGGTCAAAATCGGACCACCATCCTATTATTTTGGAAGTGCGGGACAGTTTTTGGCAGATTCATAGGGGGCAGATATTGTTTAAATTTGAGAAGGCTTGGACAAAATATGCAGAGTGTGAGTCGGTTATAGATTGATACAGGAAGCTGGAATCTAGAAGCTAGTCTTGATAGGTGTTCTAAGGCTCTTAAGCAATGGGGCAGTCGAATTAATGAGGGCTTCAAGAATCAGATTAAAAAGCTACACCAGGCAGTGGCTGACATTTACTCTCACCCTCCTTCGTAGGATTGTGATACAATTCACAAGCTGAAAGGTGATATGGATGACTTACTTGAAACAGAGGAAATTTATTGGAAGCAACGCTCCCGTGAGAATTGCCTACAGTGGGGTGACAGAAACACTAAATGGTTCCACAAACGTACCTCTATGCGTAGGCAACAGAACATGATTAGAGGGATTGTGATTGATCGGAACATTTGGACCGAGGATTCGAGGTTAGTGGAGAATGAGTTTATTTCTTATTTTAACGAAATATTTAAATCCACGCAACCTCAGATGGGGGACATGAACAAAATTCTTCGAAATGTAAAGCGTTCATTAACAGATCAGATGAATGCTTAGTTGTGTGCTCCTTTTGGTCGGGTTGAAATTGAGAAGGTGCTGAAGCAAATGCTTCCTATGAAAGTCCCAGGTCCGGACGGATTTTCTGCTCTTTTTTATCAGGAATACTAGAAGACTATTGGTGACAAAACAGTTGCTAATTACCTAGCCTTGCTAAATGGTGAGCGATCTATAAAGCCCTGGAACTCAACTCATATTGCTCTTATTCCTAAGGTAACTAAGCCTAGGTGCATCTGTGGTTATCGACCTATAAGCCTATGTAATGTATCTTATAAGATAGTTACTAAAGTTCTTTCTAACCGGCTAAAGGTAGTCCTAGACAAAATTATTTCTGAATTTCAGTCAGCTTTCTTACCTGGACGTGCAATTACTGATAATATTAATGTTGGCCATGAGTGTATTCATTTTATGAAAAGTAAACGAAAAGGCAGGGAGGGTTTTGCAGCTTTGAAGCTGGATCTGCGTAAAGCTTACAACACAGTTGAATGGATCTTCATTGACCAGATTATGCTGAAAATGGGTTTTGACAGGAAGTGGGTGGACATCATTATGGACTGTATCTCTACTCCTTCTTTCTCAGTGTTGATTAATGGAGTCCCGAAAGGGAATATTATTCCTCAACGAGGGTTACGCCAAGGAGATCCTTTTTCGCCATATTTATTTCTCATTTGCGCAGAGGGGCTTTCAGCTACTATTAAATGCGCATGATGTCCAGAGAATTTCAGGTATCTCGATCACCCCTAATAGTCCAAGCATTTCTCATCTTTTCTTTGCATATGATAGCCTTGTTTTCTGTAAAGCTGACATTACTGAGTTGTATACGATCAAGATGATTTTGTGCGAGTATGAAAGGGGTTCTGGTCAACAAATTAACTTTGAAAAGTCCGTTCTTTGGCTCTTACCAAATGTGAAAGAAGATTTCAAGAGCTATTTAAAATCCTTGATGGGAATGACTCTTGTCCCCCATTTAGGTGACTACTTAGGGCTACCAGCGATGCTTTCAAAGAGTAAGAGTAAAGATTTTTGTTTCCTTAAAGATAGAATCTGGCGTGCTATCAAAGGGTGGAAAGAAAGCTTCTTTTCTTGTGGGGGGAAGGAGGTTTTGCTTAAAAGTGTAACACAAGCAATTCCTACATATGCCATGAGCTGTTTCCATTTTCACAATACTTTTTGTGCCAAAATGACTACAACATTGGCGAGATTTTGGTGGGGTTCAACTCAATCCAGAAGGAGAATCCACTAGATGAGCTGGGATAGAATGTGCAGACTAAAAGAGGTTGGCGGGCTTAATTTTCGGGATCTAGAGTTGTTCAACAAGGCTTTTCTGGCCAAGCAACTTTGGCATTTTATTAAGTTCCCATCTCTCTTGGTTTCACGGGTCATTAAAGGTATTTATGCTCCAAACTCTTCACTCTTACAAGCAGATGGTGCTGCTCACTCATCATATTTTTGAAAAGGAATATTATGATGTAGGGATTTACTTGGTCATGGGCTGCGGAAAGTGGTTGGGGATAGCACTGATATTGATTTTTTTATGGATGCTTGGGTCCCCAGAGAGAGTATGTTTCATCCTATCACACTCAATCTTAATCCAAACAGAAAGGTTCTGGTGACAGAGTTTATTACTCCATCTAAAAGCTAGGATTTGGAGAAGCTTGAGGGGGTGGTCTGTAATGAGGATGTTGAGTTAATATCCAGGATTCTGATATGTAGTATCGGTGGGGTTGATCACTAGACGTGACACTATAGCAAACCGGGTCATTATTCAGTCAAGAGTGGATATAAATTGGCTATGAAACTCTCCTATTTGGTAGAATCTACTAGTGGGACCAACGAAGTGGGGTTGTGATCTATCCTCCAGAAAAGTCACCTTCCTTCTAAGATTAAGCTTTTCCTTTGTAAGGCTTTTCACAATTGTATTCCAACAATGAAGAATTTGGCAAGTCGAGTGATAAGTCTTGAATTTTAGGAAAAAGTGTTTACAAATTGTGCATGTTTAGTGCCTTCTGAAATTAAATACATAAGTTTCATGCATTGAATCCGGTATAAATGAGACTATTTCTTAGGAAAGACTTGTACACTTGGTTTTGGATAAATAGATGGAATTGTGAGGAAATATATATGTTTTATAGGGAAAAATGAAGAAGAAAGCAGCAATGCACCTGCTGATGACATAGAGGCTATCTTAAAACTAGCAGCGATGCGTCTGGCCCATCGCCAACACTCCAGAAACTTCAGCAATGCATCTGGCGCATTCTCCACCTACAAATAAGGGATTTTGTTGACCGGGCAGTTGGAAGAAATCTCAACTCATCCCTTGATCCGTGCAACCAAATGCTGTTAAGCCCCATTGTAGCTCCTCCACTCAAATATCCAAGATTTTCTCCACCAACTTGCAAGGTTTAGCTTTTAAATACCAAGTTCCATCAAGCTTCAAATGGGGAGCTCACTTGACATTTAAAATTCCAGCTTGTTTTCTCTCTAGAATTTACGCTTTTATAATTTGTTTTGACTTTAATTTTGCTCAACATTCCTTGAATTATTTTTATGGCAATTTCTTTTTGTTGTTATCATTTTCTTTAGATTTCGATTCTTGATTTTAATTTAGCTATTGTAATTACTTCTTAACTTAATATGATATTTTATTTCAATCCACTTCTTATTATTTCTATTTTTCATGTTTCTGTGAGTAGCTAATTTACTTTTCCAACCCTCTTAAGAATGATTTAGTTCCCATCATTTTAATTACATTTATCAGATAGCACGGCGTTTACGCTCAAATTGCTTATCTTGATTGAATTAATTAATCTAGTTGATTTTACTTGCTGGCCACTTGTTTAAATCACAACAGTTGAGTTTAATTCTGAAAAGGCTAGAGTCGACGGAGTTCATCAAGATAAAATGGGAAGTTACTTAGACATAAGAACTTAAACAAGATCCTAGACATAGGCTCTCTTACCCATTAAACGTAAGTTGGAGTTTTAATTACTTAGGATTCTTCAAGTATTTTATAGACATGTTTTAAATACTAGCCTAATCTTCTAAACAAACCAAAAGCGGTATGGAATAGGAGTTGAACCAGTTTGCAATTAGAGAGTAAATTTAGTGTGAGATTCTGATAGGTATAATTCATTTCTCTTCAACTAGTCAGTAGTATGAGGGTTGGTACCGATCTGATTCTCTGAACAATCGGAATTTCGTACTTCTGTCGGATCCTCCCTATCTCCTGATCGAGCTTGTGTAGGTAGATGTTGCCTGGTAGGGCCGATAGTAGTACACTGTGTGGGACGGAGTAGTAAGGGCCCTTCTCACCTCCTACGAGTCGTCCGACGGAAAAGACTTTCTGAATGGAGTAAAAGAACTTGGGATCGTCGATCTCTTTATTAAATTATAAAACGTGGATTTCAACCAATCAATTCTTTTTATCCTAAACCAGATTGCTCATTCAAGCAGTTTACAAAATCAATTTTAAAAGAAAACTAGTCCTTGTGGAGACGAACTTGGAATATTTCCATATTATTACTTGTGATAGTGTGCACTTGCACTCGTCCCTCTAGCTATTAAGCAGAGGCGCAACATCAAGGGATGGATGTCTTCCCTGTTTGTCCTATTTGCCTTGAAGAGGATGAGACAACGGACCACACCTTAGTGGGTTGCAATAAGGCGGGCCAGATTTGGGACATTTCCCTTCCTATGGTGATGGGCCTTGGTGTCGATTGCAACTGCAGTTTCATTGATAGATGGGCGCTTTGGAGAGAAAACCTAACACCAAAGGAATTGCCTTTAGCGGGCATCATTTGTTGGGCGAATTGGAATGACAAAAACCAAAGAAAAAATGGTGAAGTCGTTGCGGATGTTCACACAAAATCTGATTGGATCACAAATTATGCTATGGAGCTTTTAACTCGGAGAAGAAAGACTAACGAGGCCCAGAAGAATTTACCTTGTCCGGCGATTTGAAAACATCCTTCGAAAGGAACAGTCAAGCTCAATGTGGACGTGCCTTTCGATGTCCGAAATCAAAGGGGAGGGGTTGGGGTTTTGGTTTGTGATGATCAGAACTCCATCCTAGCAGCCTTAATTTCATCCCACAATGTGAATTCCCCTCTGTTGGTCGAAATTTGTGCTATTCGTGAAGTAGTTTGCCTAGCTGAGAGGTTAGGTCTTCAGTTGGTTGTTTTTTAGTCGGATTCCCTTGAAGCAGTTGAGCTTATCAATGGGATTTCGGTCAAAACCAACGAATTCGGAACCTGGATTGAGGATATTCGAATTTTGGCTGACAATTTTGTGCTTTTCAGATGTATACATGTCGGAAGAGAGGCTAACAAACCGACTCATTTCCTTATGGGTGAGGCTCTGCATCAGAATAATCCAGTATTGTGGCTTTCTGATTTCCCTCCTTGATTAATTTACCAAGTTACCCTTGATGGTAATAACAGTGTAGCCTCTTTGGCTTCTTGACTTTGTTTAATGAAGCGTGTTTCTCGGAAAAAAAAAATTAAACTATAATAGTAGTCGTATTTATTAATTCAAACAATTACCAACAAAAAAATCAAACCTCTATGACATTTCCTTAAGGGGCCGTTTGTTTCGTGGGAATCCAAGATTCCCGTGAGACGGGCATCTGGATTCCCACGTTTGATTTGCGGTAATGTAAGATATCCGGGTATTTCGGGATGCCTGGGTGTCCTAGAATGCCCATACGGAAGGCATCCGAATCGATTGGATGCCCTTTTGAAACATTGGTTTCCATGATTCCCATGTCGAGGGCATCCTATATTTGACATTTTGGCGCCTTCATTATTTTTTCATATATTTTTTTTTATCAAATTTATTTAGTTTTATTTGTAATTTTATAATTTAAATAAATTAATGTATTATTGACTAATAAGCAATTAAGTATATTTATGTATTACAGTTACATATAAAATAAAATTTCAATTAAATTATATAATATCTCCATTTACTTTTAATATGATAATAATATCTATTATTTTAAATACATAATTTTAAAACAATATTTTTTAAATGAGCCTACCTTTGACATTCTTCTTCTTAAAAGAATATAATTTGATAATATAATAAATGAATTTCACCAAATATAACATTAATTATTTAATTGTATTTTTTAAAAAAATATTAAAGTTGAAAATGAAATTTATATTCAATATTAGTTATTTTTAAAAAAGTTTTATATTAATACGAATTCTACCGGCATACAAAAATTAAACCTAAAATATTAAATTGGGTTTGTAAGGTGATTGCAAACAAAGTTTTACATTGGTTAGGGAAGAGCATGATCCATGGTATATATATGAGGATAATTATCTCGTGTGAGGCATTTTGGGTGAACCCAAAAACAAAACCGTGAAGACTATGCCAAAACAGACAATATCATACCATAATCGGTTTTTAACCCTCCACATTTCCATAATTTGTATGATATTGTACACGAATCCTCCACGATTATCTAGTTGGACGTGTATGAGGAGATGAACATCATTCATGGTCTTCAACATAGATTCCATAATACCTTTCGTTATGCAGGATATTTTAGAGGTGGGTTGGGCAATGGTAAGCTGATTCGCTTCTGGGATGATGTTTGGCCGTGCCACTCTCCTCAGAGATGCATGCCATAATTTCTATCAATTCACAAGGTTCTCATGATCTCAAAGTGATAGACTACAACATTCAATATGAAGGAGAAAAAAGGATTTATCCCCCTATGAAACTGCCCATCCAAGAGCATTTGGCTTCATCATACTTTTTTTTTTCTTTTTTTTCTATGGCTATGGACAACTAAGATAAATATTATCTTCCAGCCCAAAAAAGGAGGAGAATCTCTTTTGCCAACGAGAGATCGAACTCACAACCTCGTGGTTGGAGATATTGCCAATTACCACCAAGTTATGCTCGCTTTAACTTTTTTATTTTTTATCTTTTTGATTAGTTGTGGCTTATGTCGTTTTTAATTTATAATTTTATTTTATTTATTATTATTATTATTGTTTTTAAAAATAATTCGCCTCCCTCTCTTCCACTCTTCTTCTCCAATTTTTTTTTCCAATAAATACTTGGTGTGATTTCTACCTACCACCATTTAACTTACACCCTCCACTTGCAACTTTAATAAAAATAAAATAGAATAAATGATGTGTGACGAATGTAATTAAATTTTTTTGTTAGTGTATATCCATATAAAAATAAAACAATATATATTTTTTACTAATGTAGACTTTTTATCTTGATTTATTAATTAAAAATTAACAATGTTAAATAAGTAAAATCCTGTTTTGGTCAGAAAAATTATGAAGTACAAACGTGAGGTTTCAAATCTCTATCTTTTAATTTGATAATAAATAACGAATTTAGTATTTGAAATTACTCAAAATTCCTAACAACTATATAATACAAAATAATACATGCACGAATGTTATTTTTTAATTAAAATAATAATACAATTTAATTATTCTATTACTATTTTATTAACAGTAATTTACTATTATAATTTTTAAATAGTAATAACAAAATTAAATTAAATTAAATTTCCTAATATTTTA